GGAGGAGGAGGACTCTGGGGTCCTTGGTGCTCCCTGAGCTTGGTGGTTTTCTTGCAGATGTTTCATCACCCAGCTAGGTAACATCATCAGTGGTACAAGGGAATGGGGATTGCGGGGAGGAGGAGCAGGAGGAGAAGAAGAAAAAGGAGGAGGAAGAGGAGGAGAATTTTGGGGTCCTTGGTGCTCTCTGAGCTTGGTGGTTTTCTTGCAGATGTTTCATCACCCAGCTAGGTAACATCATCAGTGGTACAAGGGAATGGGGATTGCGGGGAGGAGGAGCAGGAGGAGAAGAAGAAAAAGGAGGAGGAAGAGGAGGAGAATTGTGGGGTCCTTGGTGCTCTCTGAGCTTGGTGGTTTTCTTGCAGATGTTTCATCACCCAGCTAGGTAACATCATCAGTGGTACAAGGGAATGGGGATTGTGGAGAGGAGGAGCAGGAGGAGAAGAAGAAAAAGGAGGAGGAAGAGGAGGAGAATTGTGGGGTCCTTGGTGCTCTCTGAGCTTGGTGGTTTTCTTGCAGATGTTTCATGACCCAACTAGGTAACATCAACAGAAGGAAACGGGGGTTGCAGGGAAGAAGGAAGAAAGGAGGAAGAGGAGGAGAACTGCAGGGGTCCTTGGTGCTCTCTGAGCTTGGTGATTTTCTTGCAGACGTTTCATCACCCAGCTAGATAACATCATCAGTGCTGGAAGGGAGTAGGGTTGCTCCCTGTTTATATACAAGCGGCTTGCCCTGTCAGTCTTGGTGGAAGTGTGTTTGCGAGAAGCTAGAACTCAGGAGAAGCTTACCTTTAAGCTACAACTTGTTTTCTCTCCCCTTGGGAGACGGGGTGGAAGAGTCTATTTGTCAGCCAGCCAATTAAGTCAGGAACAAGTTTGTGTGGAATCCTACTTTGTGGATATGGCCCCTAGTAGCAAAATTTGCCAAACCTGGCTCTGCTTTCCTCTTCTCTTTCTTAACGCCCTGTGCGTTAGGGTGGAGCTGAGGCTGCTTCCTAACGTCCCCGAGGCTTAAATCTCGTGTCTCTTAATTTTTTTGGTAACCATCTCTCTGCGGCGGCGTTTCTCCAAATCTCGGCGCCTATCGGTGTTGTCCGGGGACTAAAAAACCCCCTGTGTGAGTCCCGCTTCCTGTTCTCTTTTGCAGGGCCACAGCCAAGGGGAACCCCAGTGCAGTCAGCCACCTCCGTGAGGTGTGAACGAGGGGCCAGCAGAGTTGAGAGGCACTCCGCTTGCGAGAGGTGTGTATTCTGTTGCCCGGCGGAAGGACATTTCGCACAGTCCGTTTTTTTTCTTTTCCCCAGCCGAGCTGTCTGTCCTCAAAGATAGCTTTCGGACATTCAAATCGGGAGGGGAATCTTTCGGTTGGCGGCGTCAACTTCAAACCAAACCCGGCCGGCCAGGGGCATTTTGGAGACTTCAGGGTTGCCATGATGCAATGAAGGGATAGGGAGGGGCAGAAGAGTTAGATGGGGGCCTTGTAGGCAGAATAGAGTAGAATGGAGTGGAATAAAAAATGGAATAGAGAAAAGAAGAGAAGAGAATAGAGAATAAGATATAGAGTATAGAATAGAATAGAATAGAACATAGAATAGAATAGAATATAGAAGAGAGAAGAGAATAAATAGAGAATAAGATATAGAGTATAGAATAGAATAGAATAGGAGAATATAGAATAGAAGAGAGAAGAGAGTAGAGAATAGAGAATAAGATATAGAGTATAGAATAAAATAGAATATAGAAGAGAGAAGAGAATAGAGAATAAGATATAGAGTATAGAATAGAATAGAATAGAACATAGAATAGAATAGAATATAGAAGAGAGAAGAGAATAAATAGAGAATAAGATATAGAGTATAGAATAGAATAGAATAGGAGAATATAGAATAGAAGAGAGAAGAGAGTAGAGAATAGAGAATAAGATATAGAGTATAGAATAAAATAGAATATAGAAGAGAGAAGAGAATAGAGAATAAGATATAGAGTATAGAATAGAATAGGAGAATATAGAATAGAAGAGAGAAGAGAATAGAGAATAAGATATAGAGTATAGAATAGAATAGGAGAATATAGAATAGAAGAGAGAAGAGAA